AGGAGACAACCTCATCTTTCTCCTGTGGAGTGGCTGTTGAGTTCAAACCACAGACCTTCTGGTTAACAGCTCAATAGTAATCCACTTGGTTACCAGAGCTCTTTATACCTACAATGTCCTTATATCTTTTTCAATTCTCTAAGAGGGGCCTTATAATTTCAAAACAAAACTATTCCATCACAATCTAAACTTTGGATTCATTTATGCTGTTTCTAAATCTACAAAAAGGTATATAGTATTGTTTGCAAAGGATGCCTCTCATAACTTCCTTAGGATTTACAGCAACCTATTAACGCTTAGCTCTCCAGCCTAATGAACAAAATACCGTTTGAATAAAGCTTAGCTCCATTTGAGGGTATTCTGAATTTATCTTGGACCCCAAAATGTAATATGGTTTTCTAAGTTTCAGACAAAAAACTTTGATTTTTGTTTACGGTTAATCCAAGGTAGAGAAATTTTTTTTAAAGTTATTTTGTTTCTGTCGGTTGGTGACATCATACATGAATTTATTTAAGTGTCTCATTATTTAACAAATACCAGTATCCTAGGAAGGGGTACACGGGCAAGTACGGGCTAATATAGGGAAGGCAAAGGAAAACTGGTTCCACATGATGTTGCTGAGTGGATAGGAAGGCCCCCAAGCCAAACCTCCATCTCTGTAGCTTTTAGTTTTACCTGAGGCAGGTGATCATAACAAGTCCCTGGGTGGTGTGCACGTGATGCAGACACCTAGCATGTTCAGCTACTTGACTCACTGAAAGTTTGGGGGTGCTGGTCCCCAGAGATGCCTCAGGAGTAAGGCCTGCCAACCTACTTTAGAAAAACCAGCCATTGAAAAGACTATGGAAAGATTTCACTCTTACACACATGGCACCTCCAGGAGTTGCCATCAACTCCATGGAAACCAGTCTGGCTTGCCTTGGGTTTGGGCCATGTCAAAAAAACGTATGCTAAAATATCTGAGTCAGAATTGGCACTGAAGGTTTTGCTTTGGGGTTTGCTGATTTACTTGGGGTTTTTTGAGGTCTAATATGTATTTTCTGGTCAAGTTGCATATTAGAATCATCGCAGATGCTTACTACAATATTGCTGCCCGGAACCAAGAATAATGTAAAACAGAATCTTTGGGATGTGTGGCCCGAATATTGGTATTTAAGCAGAATCAGGACTCACACTCTTTGTTAGAAGGGTTATGGGTGTGTGAATACACACACTGACACAACAGCACAACTGGAGCAACATTGTGTTTGGGGAGTGTTCCAAAATTGCGGCCCAGGGCTTCTTGATCTCTAGGGAAGTGAGTGGGGAAAGAAAAAGTACTTACACTTTTGTATCATGTTATTCCAATATTATAACATCCCGTGTTTGGTTGATTTCAGGCTCGACTGACCAAAGAACAGCGCTGGGGAAGTTCCTTACTTTCCAGAAACCACTCCTTGGAAGAGGAATTTGAAAGGGCAAAAGCAGCAGTAGAGGTAATGTCTTTTAAATTGTTTTTTGCTGTCTCAAGTTTCTGAGAATAGAGCTCAAAAATCCATCAGCAGCAGGATACATGCGAAATGAGTCTTGGTTTATCAACACACAAAATGACCATGATGACGATTTTTAGGATGCGACTTGTAATCAGAGAACCTTTGGTTTTCTACCAGGAATACCTAATAGATGTGACCTCTGTGCCAATTATTTTACAGCTTAACTGTGAGGGTTGGAAGTACTGGGTTAGAAAGAACGGCGACTCTGAGCCCTGGACATACCTAAACCATGTATTTGCAATGCCTGGCTCAGGTTAAGATTGACACCTGACATTTTCTCTCTCTAGGATCTAGTAATATCTGAGATGTAGAGCTTGCTGTCCTACAATATGATAAATATCCCCGAGTGGGGAAAGGGCTATTCTAGTCCATTGATAACCCAGTATACCTAAAATTATAATTTTTATTATAAAGATTACTTAGCGTGTTAGGAATTTAGTTTTGGATTTAACATTGTATTGTGCTGTAAGTGGAAGCTTACAGAGCAAATTATTCTTCCAGTCAATAGTTCATGCACCAATGACTACTGACATTGGTTGCAATCCGCGAAGTGTGTCAGCATTTTCCCCATTTTCTCCCTGAGTTTCCCTGTCCCTTCCTGGATTTTCGGCTTTGATTTTGGGCAAATGCTGCCCTTTGGATCTCGTAGAGTTGGTTATTCTAATGAGCACATTCTTTCGGATGTTCCTGTTTGCTTGATAGTCCTGTCTATTGCTTGAGTGAAAGGTGGCCTCTGCGCCTGACTTCAGTCTCAATTTAAAAGGTCGGCTCTGGAGTTCCTCTGGTCTCTTCTGAACTAGTAATCTTTTTCACCCATTCTAACCAGGACTTTCTATTGTGGTCTTGGTCAAAGTAGTCAGTGCTGGTAGCCAAGCACCATCTAGTTCTTCTGGTCTCTGATTACAGGAGGTGATGGTTAATGTGGGTCAACAGTGGCCGGTTCATTACTGATTTGGACATTGATTTCTCTTATTATTATTACTTTTAACAGTTTTATTTCCATATTATTCATCAATTATACAATTCAATAGTTCAATCCTCTTAAGAAGAACTGGACGCTCATCACCACAATCAATTTTAAAATACTTTCTTCCTTCTTGTACTCACTGTTAATAGCTCCAATTCCCCCCTAACCTCCCCTGCCATACCCCCACGGAACCATTAATCCTGTTATTGTCTCTATAGATTTACCTATCCTGCATTTCATACTCAGAAAAACATTTTTAAAAAACTAACAGAAATAACAAAGTAAAAATTAACAACAATAAAAAAGTACAAGAGGGAAAACCTCAATCAAAAAGAAAGCAGAAAATATTCAAAATGAGAACAAGCTTAAAATGAGTCAAAAGGGAGGTCAAACGATAAGGTGTTAAATTTCAGCCTAACTACATCTGCAATAATCTACCTTCCAATGCAGTCTGCATGATAGCAAGGCTATTCACACCCCTGGTCTGTGGTCAGAGAATATTCACCAGAGACTTAATCCACCTGTATTTACTCACCACGTTTTTAAAAAACTCAAACAACTTTAGAATGGGTCAAAAAGGAGGTCAAATGATAAGATATTACATTTAACATAACTATATCTGCCATAATCAATTTTGCCATGCTCTCTGTCCAAGAATAAGGCTATTCACATCTCTGACCTATGATCAGATGGTATTCACTTAACCCATGTGTGGACCTGCAAATGAATTTGGGGTTTCCACTGTCATCCATAGACTTCTGCAAAACAGGCGTTCACAATCTAAGTTCTGGTACCATTCCCTCCATCAGCTTTGGAATTTATAATTTACAATCCTTGGATCACACAGGCTGGTGTGCTTCTTCCATGTAGATTTAGTTGTTGCCTGCTAGAGATGGCTGCTTGTTTGAAGACAAGAAGACCCCATATCCTATTCTTTTTAATAGCTGCTCACCATCTAGTTTCTTCACCACACTATGCATAGCACCCATATCTTTCGTGATCTCTTCATAGGGGTGAGCATCAAGCAGGGCCATAGACAATGGTTTCTATACTTAGTCTTCTGAGTAAAGAAGAAGCCCAAGTAGCACTGTGGGGTAAGTACTGAGCTGTTAACCACAAGGTTAGCCACCAGCTGCTCCCTGGGAGAAAGATGAAGCTGTATGCTATTGCTTCAATAGCAGAGGATTTGGTTTGGGGCTGACATGAGGAAGGAAGAAAGGAAAGAAAATGAAAAGAAAGGAAGGAAATAGGGAACCCAGCTTTTGCTGTGTTTTGTTTTGTTTTGATTTGATTTGTTGATCCATTTCCTTCCTGCCTGGAATCACAGAAGTGCATCACAGATGCTGTCTAAAATTCTCATCAAACTTGCAATATTATTATTTGAGAGTGGAACTTCTTATTGAAACAAAGTGGGAACTTGTTCAGACCTCCATTTCTATGTCAGATACGAAATCTTGAAAAGTGGAAATATTCTTGGAATATGGTTAGTTTGTGTGATTGTTTTACCACTAGAATTTGCATGAAATGATTATACCATGGGCGGTCTTTTAGTAACTCTGTACTTGAAATGTAATATAATCACTTGGCAATTTAATATTAAAAGGCTTCTTTCTATTCTGGGAAATAATTCTAGCCATAATTTCCAGTCATCAATCAAAAACCAAAAAAGAGAACTCTCTTATCTCACCACAAAATAATCCACCGAAATTTATTCTTTAAGAGTTGACATCTTTTTCATTTTTTTAAATCATTTTATTGGGAGCTCGCACAACTCTTATCACAATTCATACATACATCCAATTTGTCAAGCACATTTCTACATGTGTTTCCCTCGTCATTCTCAAAACATTTGCTTTCTACTTGAGCCCTTGGTATTGGCTCCTCATTTTCCCTCTCCTTCCCCGCCACCCCCTCCTCATGAACCCTTGATCATTTATAAATTATTATTATTTCATGTCTTACACTGTCCAGTGTCTTCCTTCACCCACTTTTCTGTTGTCCATCCCCCAGTGAGGAGGTTATATGTAGATCCTTGTCATCAGTTCCCCCTTTCTCCTCCATCTTCCCCTTGCCCTCCTGGTATCGCTACTCTCATTATTGGTGCTGAGGGGTTTATCTGTCCTGGATTCCCTGTGTTTCCAGTTCCTATCTGGACCAGTGTACATCCTCTGGTCTAGCTGGATTTGTAAGGTAGAATTGGGATCATGATAGTGTGGGGGCGGGGTGGGTGGGTGGGAAGCATTTAGGAAGTAGAGGAAAGTTGTATGTTTCATCGTTGTTACACTGCACCCTGACTTGCTCATCTCCTGTTGTATGTGATCCACACATATGTTTCGTTAAGACCAAAATCAACTGTTCAAATGCATTAAACCTGTCCCTCAATCCATCTCAGATGTAGACCCACAAGTTAATCTGTTTGTTATTTGAACTCCTGCTATGTGTAGCACACGGCATTAGACAGCATGAAAAAGATAATTTCGAACTAGAGAATCCTGGGTAAGAAAAGATATTAGAATCTACCTGACCCATTCACAATGAAAAAGTTAATTGATTCACACATAAAAGACTAGGGCTTCAAACGGAAATCATTTCAGTTCAACCCCCTGCTGAGCCTCTGCATTTCCACTCCAGTTTATACTGAATCCCAGTCTATATTTCAGCAAAGTGTGCTAGAAATGCAAATTCTCACAAGGAGATAAAATGAGACTGAAGTGGTTCAAAGCCCTGCAAAAGGCGGAATCAATTACAAAGTAACATTATCAGCCTGAGAAATAATGCCTGTTCACTAAAAAAGCACATCCTCCTTAGAAGGGAGGGTGACAAGACTTCATCTCCCATACTTTGGACATGCTGTCAGGAGAGACGGACATCATGCTGAGTAAAGTAGAGGGGCAGTCAAAAAGAGGAAGGCCCTAACAAGATGGATTGATCCCATGGCTGCAACCATGGGCTCAGAGACAGGAACAATGATGAGGATGGCACAGGACCCGGCAGTGTTCCATTCTGGGTCGCTATGGGTCAGAACCAACCCCACAGCACCTAATACCACCCATCTAGTCACAAAACCATTTCAAAGTTGTCTATCCCAGCCTCACACAAAACTTTATTTTTTCCTTTCAAAACACGCTTGACAAATGATCAATCCATGTTTACGTGAACATTTTCCATTAAAGGCCTTCTGCTCCAGAAAACCCGTTTGGTGTTTGGATAGTTCTCACCATTTGTCTGTGGACATGGCTTGCATGCCGCTTCTGGTCTAGCTTGCTCTTGACTCTGACCTCACTAGAGCAAAATGGAAGGCGTTTCTTCCCTTCTCCATAGGACCCCCACCTCACCTCACCTCACCTCAACAAGCCTGTATTCGCCTGGCTTCAGCTTGCCTCATGGGCATTCAGAGACCTGTGCTGTCCTCCTAGCATTGTCACTAACAGCGTGAAGACAATGTACATCTCACTGACGTCTTGAGTTTCTATACCTCTCTGGTTCTTTTCAGCTACACAAGCTTAGAAAGTGGTCAATGCTGGCGTGATGTATTCACCCCTCCCCCTCCCCCCAAAAAAGCTGCCTAAATACTGGAGATGGAGAAGGACTGGACCAACTTTTAATACACTTATAGTGACAGTAGGGCGGATCAGGAGATCATTTTGGAGCAGATCCCTAATTCCTTCCCCTGGATTTCCCTCATCTGTGAACAAGGGGCTTGGGTTTCTAATCTACTAAAATGCTATGAGTTATGATTTCAAGAGAAAGACACGGTGTTGTTTGAAATCAAATTGTATCCCCCCAAACAAACAAACAAACAAACAAACACTGGAATCCTAACTGCTGGTGTAACCCCATTGAGAAGTAAGGTTTTCTTTGTTATGGTATTAAAGCTGTGTCAACGTAGGGTGTGTTTTAAACCCACTCGCTTTTGAAGCATTACAAGGGCAGACCAGGCACAGAGAAGCAAGCACCAGTGGCAGGGGTGCGTCAG